ATGGGCCAAAGTGTCTGTTAACTAGTTTATCCATAATTTCACGTAACTGTAACAGATGGCAGGGCTGTCAATTATATACTGTATCTGCTGCACACAGTGGCCACACACTGTCTGGATATGCAGCATATTAGCCTTTACATTAAAAGAACGATAGTCTGCTCACAGGTGGTCAGAGGAAATGGACTGAGCACACAAAATAAACTATGATATTAAATGCCAAACACAGAAATGCACTAATAATAATAATAATAATAATAATAATAAGGATAATAATAATAATAAAAAATACAAAGTCACAGATAAAAAATTCTAAACGTTGCCACAGTCCCCTTCACCACCTTTATTCTCCTCAATTAACGAGAATGGCTTTTGAAACTGTAATTAAGTGTCTCTGCTCCACTCGGCCTCTTCATTATTCATGAATCCCTATTGATCACATCGTACAACCTATACTGTGGGGATCACTGGAATATCCTGAATCCCCAAAACAAATAGATGAGCTGAGCGAGCCATCGCAAAGGGATGGGCAATAATTCAATATTATTGTTAACAGACTATGAATATGATCATATCATATGGGCTGTAACTAATGATTATTTTCATTACTGAATCTGCATTTTATTTGATTGATTAATCATTATTTCTATGAAATGTTAGGGAAAATAAGCCCACCCCAGGCTCCAAAGTGATGCTTGTTTTATCAAACTAACAATCCAAAACTCAAACATTTTAAGTAAAGCATCTCATCACCACGTATGACAAACTGGACATATTCGGCATTTTTGCTTGAAAAATGACTGAAATGATTAATGAATTATCAAAAGTAGTTATATAATTGCCAATTGAGTTTCTATCAACTGACTTATTGTTTTAGCTCTACATGTAATGTCATTGTTTTACAAAATTCTGTTGTTGAAATTAATTAATTAAATTAAAAACTGACTAAATCAATTATTGAACTTTTTGGTTCTACTGATGTAAAGCATCCCAATGGAACACACTTCATTGCACTGAACATCAGTTATTTTATATGTGATTTTACTCTTTCTCACATTTGTGATGTATATTAATATTGGCTGAACACTCTTGTTAAATATCATGATGTCTATTTTAACAACATCGCTCAGTCTTATGAAGTCATATGTCGTTTTTTTCTGTGATTTTTTTGCATTCAGTATACTGAATACAATATTTATGAGTATCACAGATATTACTACCTGCTGTGTGTCTTCAACAACCACAGCTCATTCCACATTCAAAGAAATTATTATGTAATGAATATTAATGGATTGGAGCTTTATTTTAAACATGTATTCAAATTTACTCAAACTCAATCTCCACCTGTATTAAGTAGGAATGTGTAAAACATGAACTCTGGCGGTTGATGTTTAACTAAATTAACAAAAGAGCGCTTGAAGAGCTCTCTAAAATGACTGGTATTGCAGGCTGGGTGATGAATTTGGAGGAAACACATTGAGTCATCTTCAAATTGACAGATGCAGAATCTCTCCACGGGACTCTTCACTGCGGTTTAGTGCTCGAGTGAAAAAATAGATTTTACCAAGTTTAATCACACGCTATTACAAGGCAGCTTTTATCATTGCCTTCCACCGTGTAAGTGCTGGTGTCTTCACTAGTTCATTACAGACACTTGTGATTCTGCAGCACTCTTCTCATGTGTAATTGCATGGTTAGCTTTCCTCTGTAGCTTCCTACACACACTCTGGTGCAAATTATTTCCAATTCCAGTTTCCTTTCGAGAGCGATGCTGCAATTACAGAAATCTGAACATCCTGGCAATTTCCCCACAATTTTCATTTTTGTTGAAAAATGCTGTGCAACTAATAGATCTTTCTCTCTGTGAATTTCTTCAAAAAAACTTTCCTTTTAAACTCACAGACATCATCCCTCCACCGAGCTTAGTCGAATACCTGATGAACCGATGGGCAGTGAACTCTAGGGGACTTACAATCCGATAAATTGCACTTTTGGTTAAAAAAAACTTTCTCTGTTCATGTCTGGTAACTGAAAATATACCTGAGATGTTTGTGTGGTCAAAAAACATCCATTTACAAGGTCACAGGTTTTCAGTGAAATTACAGACAGCCTTGTTCACATAATTTTTTTTATCAGTAAATATAAGGTTGCCACATTCGCAAATGATTGTAAATAAATGATTTATAATTAATAGTAATGGGCAGTGCATATGATTTCTTCAAATGGCTTCATTTTCTTTTTTTTCTCTACATAAAGAGACCAAAAAGCCACAGTGGCTGCCAATATTATCTATTTAGGCAGCAGAATTTGCAGGCTTTGTAAATGGCCAGCTCCTGGCCTTTTGTGTGCCTCCATTCATTATCACCACAAAGCGGTTGATGTCTCCCCTCTCTGCCTTTTCTGTGCTAAGCACAGAGTGCAGCAGCCTGTCCATTACAGGCCTGTGACGCGTGCAGCCTGGGAGATGGCCAAACAGAGAGGAATGTCAGCGTGGAGTTAAATTAACAAGCTACATCTGTGTGGAATCTGTAGCCAGTCACAGAGACGAGATGTATCTCCCGAAAAACGAGGCCTGATTATTTGTCAGCCGAGATGTTGTCGGTGAATTTGCAGCTTTTTGCTCTGTGGCTTTGCTTCTATTAATCAGCTGACAGGGTGGTGTAGTCAAGTTACGGTCGAAGGAACTCAATTGTTGTTTCTCAGCTAGGCAATTAGTAGACATTCTATATGCTGACTGTGAGTTAGTTTTTTTTTTTTTAAACACAGGGGCTTCATTTTCTGCTCCTCCTGAATTGACTGGATTCTATAAACTGGTACAAAAGCCTCATGAAACAGTCAAAATTCAGAGTAGGAGACGACATGAAGATGAACAACATAAGTAACCTGCACTTTAAATTATGACATGAATAGATCTAAAGCTCTTTCTCTCCCTCCCTCCCTAACACACACACACACACACACACACACACACACACACACACACACACACACACACACACACACACACACACACACACACTGTAATTACCCCTCAATCCATACAAATTGAATGAAGCCAGAACCGTGGTCTAAGAATATAGACCATAATTAATAAATTACAGCCACTCTACTCAATCATTCTCCACTTTGGGGACATGTAGACATCCCATTCTCCGCAGAGTAATTGACTGAGCCCACAGAAAACACACCTAGTGCCTCCACGGTGGCTTTGTGGATACATCTGGTGCCACTTCTAACAACCAAACAGATGCCTGAGTGAAACTGTAGGTCATATCGCAGATCTTCCAGCCCTGTGTGTTTACAAGTAACAAATCAAAAGCATGCATTATTTCTGGGTTCTGAAAATACGCCTGGGGGAGCTATCAGGTTTCTTTGCCACCCCCCTCAAGCTTCCCCTCACAGCTGCTACACACGAGCAAGGATCTTTTTCTTTTTTCTACAGAAGAAAGGGTGACACAGTCATCAAGTCCAAAGGAGCAAAATCTTAAAATGTTTAAGTCGACTGAAGAAATCCTGAAGTAAAATATTTTTTTCCAAGTGGTTATTGCAACTGAATACTTGGAATCTAATAATGGGAAACAAATATATACATAGGTGTGTATTTTTTTTGGGGGGGGGGGGGGGGGGTCGACAGAAAAGCAGGATATTTACCATCTATTGTCAATGTCACATGTCTCTGTGAAATATGGGGGCAACATGCACCTCACACTGCCTCCATTTACAAATATTTCTTTGAAAATAATATATTTCGTTGTCGTCGTGTGTGTCCCCTTGGGCTAGAAAAGGGCCTGCTGAAGACGGTCTAATGATTGTCGGGTCATGTATCAAATGCACAGCAGCTGGAGGCGAGAGGGGAGAGTACATACAGTCTGGGTGTTTAGGGTGGGGTGGGGGGAAAACTAAAGCCTGAGTGGAGTCTGTAAGGAAAGCCCAGGCTGAGTGTTTTGGTGCTGACAGTGGGTGTGAATCTGTAATGGCCGCTGAGTAGGGGTCACACTCCCCGGACTTTAAGAGTTCTGACCTTTGTCTGTCTAACATGTAGTTTATTCAACAAATTTATTTAACAAGCAGGACTGAAGCACGGTGGCATGAGCAAAAATAATTCAATGTTTGCGGATTCTTTCAGGTAAAAATGTCACATTATTCTGTGTAAATCATTCGGATTCAACCTTTATATTCACTGCCATAGTGACAGTTAAGATTTTGCCAAATCCATTCATTACCTTGCAATAAAATAAACAATAACAATCAAAAATACCAACGAATCTAAGAATGTGAATAGGCTCATATGATGCTTTTGAGACTGTGCACTTGCCATGATTTTTCATTCACTCACGTGCTAATGAGTGCCTTGCAGGAAAGCAGAATGACTTACCTCAATATAAAACTGAAAGGTTAAGGCAGAAATTAACACTAGGAGTGCTAATGGAAATGATCTGAGAGAGCACTAGAGGGAAGGCAGCCCTACAGGTTTCAAAGAATCTTTATTCAGCTTTTTCTAGAATTTGAATTAAGATTTAATTTTGAAAAAAAGGACACTATAATTGCTTTACTTATAAATAATAATGACTGTAATTAGTTGAACTTAGCTTGATAATTATAAATGATCTGTGGTGTGATTAAAAAATGCAAAGTATAATTTTTTCTTTAACTGAATGGCTCTTGGCTAAAACTGTATGGTAATCACTTAATCTGATGTTTATACAGTAATATCCTGACATTTTTAAATGATCATAATTGTTTTCAAATAACTGTAAAATCGCTGTCATGTTCTGCAGTCTTCAACCTAAATCAAACCTGTGTTTTTCCAGCTCTCTGAACATGAGAGGAATGAAATGTGAGTGAGTCAGTCATAAAGTACTACTGCCACCTGCTGGTCTTATGGCTCATGTTGGGCTCTATGCTTTATATTATTATTTGGAGCCACTGACACAGCTTTCAACCCTCATTTACTTACAGTACCTGTTCCTGGTAGCTCATCAGAGCCAGTGCAGTGGACTGACCTGAGGAGCATGTCCCAGCAGGGCCCACAGTGCATCAGCTGACAGGGTCTTGACTCTGGAAAACTCAAGCGTGTCCGTCTCCTGTCTGTTGAGAGCGATGTACTGGCAGCCCTGGAAGTCTCCTTTCAGCTGCTCGCCACAGTGCAGCCGCATTAGATCCCATGTTCCCACCCTCCTCAGGACCTCCCGCACTGACTCCATCTGCCTGTACGACAGATGACCTGCAGGACAAAAAGCAACACGGTGACTTGGTAGCATTCCTGTCAGAAGAAGCCTGCTTAATGTAATTTTACTCTATGGTGGAATTCATTACGCTGCAAAAAAAAAAAAAAATTGATGAGTTCTAAAAGTCCTATTAGAATATTTCATGCGTTTTTTTTGTTTTTTTTTGAGTGTCATCAGGTGAGAGATGACAGGAAATGAGAGAAGAGAGGGAAGCGATGACATACAACAAAGGTGCCCTGCAAAATTCAAACAGGGGACACATAATGAGCACCTTGTTTCCAAAACCATTTCAAAATTCAAATTATAAAATCATAAAACAGGACTAAGAACAGAATAAGGTGAAGTGCTGCACTACAATGAAGAAAAACAACACTGATAATAAAGCATTCTTAAAACAAGTGGATTTGTTTTGGAAACAGGTTGATTTTTTTTTTTTTATCACCAAGTGTAATTTTAGTTGATTCTTGCACAACTGTCTGTTTTAATCTGTCAGTTCCTGAAACAAGCTAATTTGGAAACAAGTTGAAAACGATCTGTCGTCACTCTCATAGTTTAGGACTCAGAAATAGAGAAAATAACATGTTGACGTGATGGAGATTTTTACAGTTTAACAGAACACTGACTGATTTCCTTGAGTATTAATGTCTATCCTTTATGGACCCACTCACCAGAGAGCCATGAAGGAGTCAGTGCATCTGATATCCAGGCCATGTAGCCCTCCCTGAAAGATCTGAGGAAGTCGTCTATCTGGCTGTGGGAGACCAGCTCCCTCCTCTTCCTCAGCTCCTCCTCCAGCTCGCAGTCTGGGGAGAGGAAGATGACCCTGGGGAAGAAAAGGCTTTGGCGCACGGACACTCCACTCCTCTTCAAATGGCCACATAAGTTAGCCGTCTTGGTCTAGAGGAGAAGACAGTTAAATCTAGGGATGGAAATGATTATTTTAATTCACATATGATCTATCTATAAAATGTATGAAAACCACCAGGGATGGGTATCAAGCCTTAATAAGTTTTGGTGCCAACTGAAATGTGCCTATAGCATCAGAAATATAGAGTCCAGTGTCCAGTCAGATTTGTCTTCTTTATATTTTCTTTGATCAGTCTCTGATTTAAATAATAATTTTATAGACTGTATTTTTAGGCAACATTGGAGAAGTTTCAATTATCTTGTTAAATTAAAAGCTAGTTCGATGTATCAGTAATCAACAGATCTGTTATGTGACAACATTAAAGACATACAAATTTAGACGTCCCCTTAATTTCTAATTGGACCTATTTTAAGAAATTATACATCCTCAAATTGGCACAGACGGTCGAGCTGTATCTCCTTTGTGTAAATTAATTAAGTTAATAGATCCAATTCAAGCAGAACTTTTTCAATTATGCAGTGTGTGTTTGCCATCAGACTCTTCTGTCAAGCTCCCAGTCCAAATCGAGCATCTATAGAGATGGAAATGAATGACTCCTCACAGACCCAGGCACATAAGGTGACAGCTGTGTTTAGGCACCTGCCTGCTTTCACTCCCCCCTCCCCTATGAACATAATTATGGCCTTTCAAATGAAGAGCGCCCACTTGGGAAGTTTAGGAAGCCCCAGTGTAGTGTTTGAAATTTCCATATAAATTGTTATGGTGACTCATAATCTCTTAACACGGCTGGGGTTTGGATGAAAACAATGTGCTGGACAACTGATTGGACCTTGGACTTAAATGTGCCAGACAGTTTGACATTCAGGTTTCCATGATGCTGTTTCGACATTACAAGCGACATGTGTCTTTTTACCATGATAGCTTTAAGGGGATCTTCAGTCTGCTCAATGCAGGTATTGGTAAAGTTTTGGTCCTCTTCTTTCACTTGCACATGCCAGTTTTGGTTGTGAGCCGCCGACACTGTGCCTCTCCAGGGTTTTACATCAATGCAGAAGATCCCGTGGCCTGTGTAAAAAAACAAACAAACATTAATCTATGTGAAAGTTTAAAGACTTCAAACATTAGTGTAATACAGTTATCAATTATTTCCTGAAGGCCTTAGCTCAAACATTAATTTACTACTTTAACTTACAATTCATACAACAAAATACAAGATAGAATTTAGACGACAGAAATTACCATGACATGGACAGTATTAACCAACTCATGCAATGATTCACTCCTCCCTTATATGTACAGTAACTCAGCTACAACAACCATTGAAGACACATCTTTATATTATGATAACCAATGTTCATACCATATTGAATTCTAAATCACAGTATGAATGTCATATTGATTTAATGCACAGCACTGTCATGAAACACCATTTCATTACACACACCAACCTGTGAGTATAACAATGTTGATGTCATCTTTGGTAGTCTGATACTGGGGGATACGCAGATTGCAGTAAACATCTTGATTTCTCAGCCCGGTGAGTTTCCTACAGTGAGCACATGGAAAAATGGGTGAAAAAAAGTAAAGAAAATTAAATATTAGGTTAGATTTCAATTAAAAGTACTGTTCATGAGCACAAACAGAAGTTAACAATGCATTTTTTTAGCCACTTGGGGGCAGTGGAACAAGCTGTAGACATAACTTTGACATAGTATGATCTTAAAAGGTTTTTAAACATGGACGTTTTGGCAAACAATTGCCTATTAACATGCCCAGCAGACACAGAGCAACATTTGCATTCAATTGTAGTTGTGTTTCTTGCCATCTGACGAATGTTATTTTAAAAGTCACTCTTCTTCTACCTCTGTTTTAGTCTCCACCAACTCCAGAGGAAAACATCTACTCCACTATGTTCAGCAGCAAGCTGCTATCTTTGCCTGTCTGCTGTTCAGTGCTAGGCAGATAGTGCGCAGTGGGTTTAACAGAGATTTTTCACTGAAAACAGTGTGAGAGTGGTGAGTGTGAGCTGAAATAGTAAAGTGGCAGGCTGTAAAACCAAAACAATGAGCTTAAGGACAATCAAATGCTCCACAGACCTGAGGGTAAACTGTCAATTCTCTGTGGATTGATCACTACAAATGAATCCTTTTACTTTATTTATTTATTAGAGCAGCTTTAAGTAAACTCAGTACTTACCTGACATGTTGTAAAAATTCAGGTAGTGTTTGTGTGTGCAGTTGGCTCTGGCCTTGGGCACTTTCTGAAGCTTTGGAGCTGATCTGAAAGTGGGTAAACAGGCTTCCAAGCTGAGGCATTCTAGTCTTTGGCTGAAAAAAAAAAATAGGTTAACATCTAAATGACCAGGCAGTTTGATTAAGAGACAACATATGCAGTAAAAACAAAAACTTGTCTACATAGCTGCAGATGTTTGGATTTGTTACTGTTGTACAGTCAACATGATGCTGTTGTTTAAACTGTATTACACATGTTTAAGCCAAGTCAACAAGTTTGTGTATAAGGTTAGCTACAAGTTATATTTCACACATTGTGTTAGGCTAAACAAATTGCTCCGGCATTAAAAGCATCCTGAAGGCATGCTAACTGCTGCGTTCAGCCTTAACAGCTCTGTTGACAACACTTGCACGCTTAAACTTGAACTTCAGGACCCTGTGAAGAGAACAAAGAGCACAGACAAGAGGCATGCTGAACTCACACAAGCACCGAAACAAAACAACTCATAAGCCTACTGTCGAGGTCTCGCGCTGCTTAAAGAGCCTTTGAAGAAGGGAAAATTAGGGGAATTCAGTTCGACATTTTCCCGGCGTTAATGTCGGACTACGGGTCTTTTCTCGAAATACCAAGCAATGTAACTCTATCCAGCAGCTGTTTCACAATTTCACCGCCCCGCCTCCTCCTCCTCCTCCTCTCCGGCTGTACTTCCAGCGTTCCTGGAAGAAGTAAACAACAGACCACGTGCACCACCTGCAGCATCATATTTCGCCCTCCGAGACATGACGTCAGAGCACGTCACTCAGTCCTGCAGTGTTTGTGTGATGCGTTTAGGGAACGATGCCTGCTATTTTCATGTGATGTTTATCCGATGCTTTGGACCGAGAATCTGTTTGACAACCATTGCTGGAAGAAATACACAACTTCAACATACATGCCTGATATTTGTGGTCGTTTTGTGTCTCCTTATGATTATGTTACATCTCTTTGTATCACTTTGTGTCTCTTTTAATGTGTTTTGCTGTTTTGAAGCTGTCATTCGTGGTCAATTTGTGTCTCCTTATGGCTATTTTGTGTCTTTGTGTCATTTTGTAGATGTTTTGTGTGTCTTTGTGGTGGTTTTGCATTGTAGCGTCTCTTACATTGTAGTTATTTTGTGTCTCCTTTGTTCATTTTGCTTCTGTTTGTGGTCATTCTGCATCTCTTTTTTTGTTTTGCATCTCTTTTAGGACATTTTGCATCTCTTTGTAGTTGTTTTTTGTCTCTTTGTGGATATTTTGTGGGTCTGTGCCCAATAGGCCTGTTCAGTTACCTATCCATGTCAACTCTACCAGTGAAAAATACTCCAATGGTACAAGCACATGCCCTAAATGTGTGTTTAAGCGAATGTAAACAAGTATATGCAGTAAAATGTACTCAACTAGTATCAAAAGTACTCACTGTGACAAAGATTAGCGTTTATAGTCTGTGCTGTGCCGTTGGATGAAAACCTTGTATCTCCAGCTGAGAAAACAGTCCCACCATGACGTCCATTTAGTTGCTGTTTTGGAGTTTTGTTCGCATCACATGACCTTCATCAGCAGATGTAATTTGCACCGTTGTCAGGGAATTGTAGAATAATGCTCAGAAGAAAAAAAAACAGAATTTGAACATCTACAGTGGCTGATGGAGATCAAAGTTCCAGAACAGCTATTAAATGGACTTTTAGGCAGGAAGTTAAAAATTATACAAGTTATATATTCTCAAGTCAGTGCCAAGGCCTACATATCTGATCACCTTCCTTATATCTGATCAAGATGTGCTGTAGTAGGATTTGAAAAGTAGGTGTGTGATTGTATTGATTATTTTTGAGTGTGGCCTTGCTCTGGAAGAGAAATATGGAATAATTCAGAGAGCCATATAGCTGGTTCAAAGTTTGGTTTGATGGTATGATCCAATATGATTAATTTTATGATGTAACTGTACAAAATTAAGGTGAGTTAGGGACTACAATTAATATTCATGATTACGAGTGACTCTTGAGAGAACAAAAAACAAACCTAGAAGTAGAGAAGTTTAACTTAGGATTGGCTGAAACTATTAAGATTTTATATTTCATGCATATGGGAGGACACTGATGAAATACACAGTGGGTCCAAAGGTCTGAGACCAGTTCTTATTCTGTTTTGCCCATATTGGCTTTTTCTTTTTCTGAAGTCATAGATAGGCCGCTATGGATTTTCTTGCACATTCAACAGGATTCTCACATCCTGCATGAGCCTCCAGAGAGGATATTACAAAAGTGATGAAGAATATTTAATTCAGCAGTAAATACACATTGAAAATCTCAATGTGCTGATAAACAATATCCGGATAGCACAAAATACTATGAAAAAGCTTAATATCAAGAGCAGATAGCCAAATCAGCTCATATGGGCTCAATGGAAGCCAATAAACAGAGGCACTCCGTCCCTCCTGACCTTCACTTCTGGTTTAGATCGGGGCGATAAAGCAGGCGCAACCTCAATAAAACCCATACAATGGAGTAAAATAAATAGATATTAAATTAAAGCAGAGGCAATACTGGCTGAACTGCTGCAGGAATTCGAGAACAAAAGCTTCTTTGTGCAGTTTAATATTGTCTACAATCACCACCTCATGATACATTTCCAATCGTTTTCATCTCTTGCCTTGACATATCAACACATATAATCATCTTGTATTGGAACTTGCAAATGACTTGTGCTTGTCTCTGTGTGAGAAAGCGCCATGTTTATATATTAAATGCGCTTCATGCTCCTAGTTTGGCCTTTTCGGTCAGAGTTAATATCAAATTCATAATCTGTTTCATCTCTGACTGTCCACCGAGGAGGAGTTCATGGTGTCAAATATTGTCATGAGCGCATGTTTGCATCTCTGCTACATTTTATATCCTTTTAGCCACCAAATACCCCAAATAAGCATTTAGTTGAGGAATTAGCAAACTGGTTATTTTGGTGTCATTAAACCCAAGACCCATGTTGTGTTCAGCCTGTTGTCATGGGCTGAAATACAGGCCCTCTTCATGTCCACTGCATGCTTCAAGTGGTTCCTGAAGCCTTGCGTCTACTATTGTCAGCGTTAATGTCATTTTCACCTAATGCACCTGAAGAGCTCCACTGTGTGCGTGAGGAGTTACCAAGGGTTTTCAGGTCCCCTCTAAAGTCTAATTAGGCATCAGAGTTCACACTTGGGGGCTTAGCTACGATTGTATAGTGGATTTAGTGACCTTATTAGAAAGAAAGTGAGCATAATCTGGAGAATGATAATGGTATGAGTTTCATGCATTTGTCAGAATCTGAATATAATCTACAAGCTGATGATATTCAGTTTCTAGTACTGTCCAAAAAAAAAAAAAGAAAGATAATTTTTCACGCTGACGATATTTCCATTTTCAATCCTTCAAATCAAATATCTCATTTGCAGAAGTAATGGCTACAGGACATCGCTGACGCTCTGCTCACTAATTTTTGCTCATTTCATTTGAATTATTAATACGAGAGATTCTCCATATGCTCTCCGAGGATTCTTGTCCATTCGTTTTGGAGAGAATTAGCATTTTAGAGTGAAGAGTATAAAGAGCTTAACTGCCCCAATCAAACGGTGTGATTTAAACCCTGTCTAATCGAGATGTTTAATAAGGGTTGCAGCTCAATGACCTGAAGTAAATGGTCCCAAAATGTTCCTGGTTCTCAATCACCTGTATAATTAGGACCATTTCACCTGAAAAAGCCTGGGCACTGAAATGAGGTTTGCAAAAATAAGACTGTAGAAATGAGGTGAAATGACCCTTTAGGGGGTGTTTTTTGGCTAATGTGCTGAATGCCAAATTACTAACAAAACAGACAACTTGTAATCTCCCCTGATATAATAAACCCAGTTAAACCTGGGCTCAAAAATGAAGCGCGAAAGTGTGAAAAACAGTTTTGGTATCGACCCCAAATAACCTTCTTTGTGGCTGGCCTGCCTCAGTAATTAGTTATGCCATATGAAGAGGTAATTTGTATGCTAAAGTTTAATTGTTCAATTATCACTGGATGTGAGAGGAGGCCTCGATGCCATTTCATCATGTTTGAAAACAGTGTTGAACTCCTCGTGCCACATATTGTAATAGCTGGCAATTACAGAGAGAGCCCTCTCACTAAGTTGACTGATGCAGGCTGGCCTCACTGAAAAGCCTCTGCTACCTGCCTGGCGCTGTCGCTGGCAGCGAAGAGTGGGTCCATTCAGGCGGCAGAGCTGAACCCGCCAAGCTCTCACTGTGGAAAAGGACATCAACTAGCTGCTGACAGACAGCATAAACACCAACTACACAAGTACTACTGAGGGACAACATGTTAAAACAACATTATCACAGAGTAAACAAGACAAGATTGGTTCAACGTTCCTTGCTATCACCTTCAGGTTATAAACAGAAGGTGAAATAAGTTGACTTGAACAACAATCGCCAGCATTTTCCAGTGTTTTAGTTTTGTAGTTCTCGACTTTGCATTTCACCCTGAGAGGCGTTGTGAGTTTACATCATCTGAATGCATCTGGGACTGAGTGTCGGCTCAGTGATTACATTTTTTTTTTCTGTATAGTGACCTCTCAATGAAGGCCATATTTTCTTAAATGAATTTAATTTCATACAGCTACTTTTTTTTTCTCACAACTACTAGGTAAATAATGAAGACGCCTAGTGTTGCCATCTACAGGCTGCTATTAAACAAGACAATAAATCTACAATCAAGAGAACTCTGCAGGTTCAAATATAGCAGTATAAAATACATGAGGGTCAAAAAAGTGTAGCAAAGCAACAATTATGACAAAGAAAAAAACTATACTGTTAAAGAGGTTAAGATATTCTGTGGAACACGAAGTTGGATTTGATCATCATGTTACATGTAAATAAGGTTCTGCAGGAAATAAGTAATCTAATGTGTGTTTTCTTTCCATTTTCTTTGGAGTTATGTGTAATTCATTCTGTTGTTACAGTAACACGCATCGGTGACTGATGACCTGAGATGATGACCGCTGATTACTGATCCATTTCATGCTTTCCAGGGGCCCAGATGGGAATCCAGGAGACAAAAGATGCCCCGTCATTTTCACCCAGCAGCTTTTCAAGATTCTCATTAGCGCTCTAAATTGAACCATATGTGTCCAGTTTGTAATTAGCTCCTATAGGATAAGAGGTGACATCTTTGATGGAGTAAAGGTCTATTCTATTAAGATTGATATCATTTTTACTTTATATATATATATATATATATATATACATATATATATACAGATATGGACAGAACTGTGAAGTCAACTCATTTCAACTTATAGAGCATTAGAATGAGAAGTCTTTAAGATGATCAATAAATAATAGAAAGTTGCAGTAATAGGACACATCCTTGAAGCTATACACGGATGTGTAAAGGAAGTAGTATTTCAAGACTCCTATGTCAATCACACATTAAACAACTGCAGTGAACAAGCTTCAGTTTAAATGGTGCAGAGGACCCCTTGAACTACATGAACCCTTCCTGCTTTGGTTTATACAAACCTCCCTTTTGGCAGAAAAGAGAAAACTGGCTAACTGACATGCTGCTTATCCTC